ATGTATGGAGAGGCAGAAATATGGTAAAAAAAAATACATAGGAAAAAAAAACAGTCACTAAATTAGACAGCGAGGTATGTCAAAGGACCTAAAGAAACGAAAATGGATTGCTGGGTCACAGAGAATTACTAGGAAGGAAGCCAAGAAGAGCTACAAAAGACCAATAGATTAAGAAGTTTGGAAGCAAAAGAATGAAAATATCCACAGTATTTAGATAGGATGCTTTTCATATTTTTTATCATCTCATTAAAAGTAATTAATTACACATTTCACTATGATGATGAACTGGAAAAATATCTAATTATCATTACTGTTATTGCCAATGTTTCATTTTCCCCTAAAAAAACCATGAAAATGAACATGGTTAATATAAGTTCTTATTTAACAGAAAAATGCACTGAAGTTCTACAACTTGACTGGCACTGTAGTCTTAACAGTGTTACTTAACAGTTATACTCAGTGTCTTTGGAAGTCACCGACCCTGGGAGAGGGAGAGAGTACAGATATGCACCAATCAGCATATGAGATGGAGAGAGAAGGAGGGAAGGAGGGGGAGGGAGGGAGAGAAACACAGAGAAGAGTAGGTGTTCTATGCTCTTCAGAATCTCATCATCTAGCAAGATGACATCAACTCTGAAACTTGTACCTCCTCAACTGCCCCTGTCCCTAGACCCCCTCCCCTCCCTCTGATTAGAGGATGGAGGGTAAACATTGGTACGTTCCTTCCAGATCCTCAATTTAAGGAGGGTGCCCAGGGCAGTTATTTCCCAGCAGGCAACATTCCTTTGGTCATCATCACACCCTCATGCAAGGTATCATTCTCCCATATGTTATCTTCCCAATTAGATAGGGAGCTCCTTGAAGGCAGGGATAATCTTTTTGGCTTTCTTTGTATCCCCAGCACTTAACATAGTGCCTGGAACATAACAGGCACTTCATAAATGTTGAGTAACAATTGGAATGATGGATTGAAGAGGGGGTGGTGGAGGACTAAACATGAATGTAAGAATAATTATATGAAGTAAAATGTAATTCTGTTTGTAAGAATAATTATGCTCTAAAATTAGTTAATGGAGGGATACTGAGGAACTTTTTTCCTCTCTAATGCAGGAAAGACAGTCACCTATCTCTGATGATTTAAGAACAGTGAGGCCTGCAGTCCAAGGAAAGGGTTACCTGACTTGTGGTTCTATCTGTTTTGCCTCTGCTGAACAATGGATTTAAAAGAACATGTGATCTGATTTCATATGTGACACCACAACTGGAAAAGATTCATGTGGCAAGGTGGAGTTGCTGCCTTACTGTAGCTGTGCTGTACAGCCAGATGGGCTTCAGAGAAGTAATATGCCCTGCACAAACGTATATCATCTGCAAACAGGAGTGGAAGGAGATCAGACTATCCATAAGTAGCAATGCCAAGATATCCTCCGTGGAGATGTTGCTCCAGGTTCAGATATGAAGGGAGGACCCAGGGGCTTTATTTCTCTTCTGCTCAGGCACAGAATGAACACCCTGGAGAGTAAAGACGGAGGTTCATTTGTAGCGATGAAAGGAAGAGAAGGAAGGAAAATGTGAGGGAGAAGAGAGCACGAACAAATGACACATACAGGTGCAGCAAGGGGGCAGCTAGCCCTAGAAAAAAAAAATCACTAAATTAGTGGTCAAAGGGTTTAGAATAAATGGAAGTTTCACTTATGGAATCCACAAGCCTGGGATGTACTACTGACGTGAAGAGCTGGAAGTCACGTACTGTATTAACTGACCTGCATAAATACCAACAAATCAGATGCCAAAAGGGAACGATTTCTCTTGACCTTATTGTGCTCCAACCCTACAGCATGCCAAACAGACCATTCTATCCACCTATCTACTCTCTCCTCCAGAAAGCTTATCCATTCACCACAGTCAAGTGACCTAGTTCTGCCCTTCTGATCATTCCTCCTTCTCTTCTTTCAACTTCCAAAGCTAAAATGTAGGTGCTCCTCAAAGTTCTTCTCTCCCCTCTTTTCTAAAAAAACTCATCCATTTTCATGGTGTTAAATATGACCTCCATGGCCTGATGAATTGTGAGTGAAAGGATCTGCTACTGTGTGACCTTGGACAGGTAACTTAATGAAGCACTTCTTAAACTGTGGGTCATGATCCCATATGGGTCATGACCCACAGTTTAAGAATTGAAGAAGGGGTCCCAAGCAGAAAAAGTTTAAGAAGCCCTGAATTTTAATGGCTTTGGGCCCAAGTTTTCTCATATGTAAAATGAGGGAGGTTAGAATAGACAGTCTCTAAGTTCCCTTCTAGCCCTAAATCTCTGCCACTAGGATTCCACTATCTTTCCAAAGATGACTCCTCTTCACCTGTTACAGATTTCTGCTACAAGGTCACACCATCACCTCAAACTCAATATGTATACAATCTCCACCTTCTACTTATCCCCTCAAAACATAGCCACTCCCTATGATAGCTTCCACTTTTCTTGCTGGTACACAGGCTCGAAATTTCGGAATGATTTTTTAGCCACTTCTGACTCCGAATCATACCTTTTCCTTTCCCCCACCACTCAAAAACCCCATCTGTCATTTCCTCCACTGTAGAGCTTCTTCCACTTGCTACTTAACTGTTAGTCCTACCATCATGATCCTAGTGCAGGCCCAACCCTGAATCTCTTGGGATATTGTGATAATATTTTGACTCATCTCCCTGGCTATAGTGTCTTCCCCCTAATCCATTCTATACGACACCAAAAAACAAATCTTCCTGAAACACCATCTGGTCATGTTGTTCTCCTATTTAAATGTCTTCAGGATTTTCCAAATGTCTTCAGATTGTCAAAAATCCTGAGGGTGACATTCGAGGACTACCCTCGCCCCCGAATATACTCTAAACCTATATTTATAATTCTTTGCTAGTTATTATCCTACATAAGCATTCTGCTATAGCCACACTGGTCAAATCATCACACTAACATCACATTTTTAGACGTTTCTAAATGTAATATACCTGACCTAAAATGCCACTGCCTACATGGTTCATATATCTGAAACCCGCTTCCCCTTTGAGGACAAATTCAAATCCCACCTCATCCACGAAGACTACCTTACAAGTCCCTCATTTACCCCATCTTTTATTCTGTTACCAGAATAATCCTTCTTATGCATAAATCTTCCTTATGAGCAAGTCACTTAATCATTCAGTGCTCTAGGCAACTCTTTAAGACTAAAGGTTGCAGAGAAGGTACTGCTCTGCATTGATGGAGGGCACTTCCTCACCTGGGAATTCCCTCTATCAACGAAACCTTGGGCCCAATCCTATCTCTATGCACAGATTTAATCATGTCATTCTTTTCTTCGAAATTCTTCAGGGGCCTCATCTTGGCTCCCAGGTAAAGATCAATTCCCTCTACAAGGTGTTCATGCCCTCACTCTCCTGCCCTATTCTCCTATGACTCTCCTCCATGAACTCTAATAGCCAAGAAAACCAGCCTAATCTCTGGACCCAAACCCATTCTGCACACACCTCCATACCGTTGCTCAGGCTTTTCTTCCCTTTATTCCTGGATAGACTCACGACCCCCCCCTCCACTTCATCTAATCAATTCCTATGCATCCTGAAATTTCACCTTAAATTCAATTTCTTTCACAAAGCTTTTTCTTCATGAAGTACCTTGTTTTCTAAATTTCTAATGCATTTATCACACGATACTGTGAACTAGAGCTTATCAAATGATACTGTGAATTACAAGAGGCATTTTGTGATCTCCTTAATAGCAAGAACCACAGCGTTTCTCAACCTGGCAGCCCCTGCAGGGTTTAGCATAGTGCTCTGTACACAGTGGGTGTCTAATCAGTGTGGGCTGTATTGTATCATAAGACTTCACTGGTCAAACTAACCCACGAGGATCCCTTCCCTGTGTGAACTTCTATGGACCTTATCCTTAATAACAATCATTGAGAACTCATCATAGTCTAACTTATATGAGGGACAAAATTGTGTGTTATTATAGCTCTATGTTTCCAGCACATTTCTTATTTTAGGACCACTTCATCTTGGCCCACTTCCTTCCTAGGAAAGAAACAGCTATTATACTAAGAGAGATTAGACAAAAGACACTCTTCTCACCATTGTGACCCTGTGGAAAACACACTGAGAACCAAGCTTGGGAAGATTCTGACTTTCCTGTTGGCACATTCAGCCAGAGGCTAATTTAAAGGGCAAACATGTTTTAATTAGGAGATTTATTCTAAGCGTAATCAAGAGCTCGTCCAAAGTCGGAAACAGAGAAGAACGGGAAGATGCTGCAAAAGGGAAAAGAATTAGAGCCCACAGGGAAGGAGTCTCACTACCATTTCAAGGACAGCTCAAAGTTAAATATTTCAAATGATACAGTATGAAATGACTGCAATCCAGGTGACATACACAGAGACTGCTTATAGCACACAAAAATGTCAGAAATCACTTTTCTGCTATATTCAATCCACAAAAGAATGTACTGAAGTGTAACTGTTGTGTCAGTGTATCTTAACAGGAATAAGAGAAATACTGCACAAAGCTCATTAAACACTTGCTCTGTAGGTTTCCTGGCCATGATTCAATTCCATATCTCCAGCTGATGAGTAGGAGTCTCAGGGACCCCAGGAGACTCTCGGGGTCACACTGAAGTGGAGAGCTCCACAAAGCAACTGTACGATATCACAACCTACTGTTTCCAAATGAACAAACCAATAGGGGAAGGAGGTGGGGAGGAGAACAGGCCATAACAAGGGCTTCCTTCCACCTGTGAAAAAGCTCTTGCTACTCATTCCTTTCAGAAAGAAACTTTTCCAGAAATTAAAAAATGCAGCTACATGTACATGATTATTAAAAGGGCTCCTAGATACTCCCCACTTAGCATTAATTGAACATCCAATGTTGGGACATCCAAACCTTTTCCCTCAACAAGGTAACAATAATCCAGAAGAAGCTTTCCCAAAATGAATCAAACATTATCAATCAGTTTAACTTACATGGATTAAGGACTCACTCAGCATGTCTTCATTCACCTCCAGAATGATGGTTTTTATATCTTCGTAAGACATGCGATAAGAACCGAGGAAGATAGCTACAATAAAAGAAATTTAATAAAAATTAATCTCCATATTAAAAGCTAAACCTCCCAATGCATATTTCATTTTTGTTTTCATAGTCATCACATAAGAAATCATGACATCCCTAACTGTTATTAAAAGCTGTCACCAACCAAATGTGCTATCTTAGCAGCCCAAAACAAAGGCTGTGGTCTCGGAGCCCAGGGTTTGCAGGTGATGGATATTTACCACACACAAAGCCAAAGTGAGAAGGCCTCAGTTTCTAGAGTGTCTCCTGATGGTCAAAAACATTCCCAGCTGATTGAGAGATAATGGCCCAGTTACTTTTTTCTCAGGCATGAGATTAAAGTAAACTACTAAGTAACCATATCATTAAGAAGCTGCAATTCTTCTTCCCTGAAAAATTCAAGGCAACTGAATAGTGAATGCTGGGTGCATCCCTGCTGGGGCTCCTCCGGAGTGCTCTTGTCTACTTTCTATTTGGAGTCACTGTTTCTTCTGTAAAGCATTTATTTAACTGGACACATATCATTATGTCTTACTAAACTATCTGCAAATCCTAGGTATAAAAGGGCCACAGCTTCTAAGAATGCATTTTTTAAGCTATACCCTTTCACCTTAGTTTCCCACTGAACATGAATTTATGCCACAAGTTCTGAGGGCCTTCCTTAGTGCCTAGACCTGCACTAGTCATGCACATGACTTCACTTTCTGGGAAAATCAAAAACAGCTCTCAATTTTCAAGGTAATCAAAGGTAAAGTTAGATTTCAAAGGCCAATTAGAAGCATCATCAATACAAGTATTAATGAGAAACTGCTAAACTCCTACATGGCATGATGAATAATGGTACATGAAAGCACTCCTCAAAAATGCTGTGGGCATGGCCACAACATCTCCAAGTACAAGTCAATGGGAGAATCCAAGTGAATCCTCCCATACTGGAACTCATCTTCCTTGTATAATAATCCTTGATAATGTATTGCTGTCATTACGAATAAACTTTGTTCATATATAAAAAAAACTCTGATACATAAGCAAACCGACCCAAGCAGCCACTTAATCAAAATCTATTCCACTGAGTATATTTTGGCCCCAAACTGAAAATTCTCTCAGATTAAAGAATTTGATGTGTGCATCAATAAAGACAGCATCAATTACATACTTGCTTTTGCAAACTGTGGATTGGCTGGTTACAAGTTTCAAAGATTGGCCTACATTTTGAATTTTGAACACAGAGTCCTCTGTGTGCATAGAAAAAAGAGGTTTGGCATCTTTGTACAACAGGTGGATCTATTCGTGGGATCACCCACATACCTCTTAGAGAGACAGAAGAGGACAGAAGGTAAGACAGCAGAACTGTGCAAATACTGCACAGTGAAGGCAAGAAAAGCAAGTTCCCAAAGGAACCTTTCAGAATCACTCAATATGTGTAAGAATTGTATCACAAATCAGCTATGATTGCAGCTGATTTTTAACGACCTTGAATAAAGAAAACACCTTCTCCAGGGAAAGCTATAGACTGAAATTAGCTGGAAGACAAAGATATTCAAGGAAACAAGCAAAACATAAGATTGAGCTGATAATTTCAAATTTAAAGAAGTTATGAATTCAGTTTTCTTTAAAGCATTTAGTAAAAACGGGGGAGAAGAGGAAGAGAACTCCAAAATGATTTACATACACAGATTCTGAGCAGTTTTTCCATCCAAAACTCTTAATTCTTTAACTTTCTTCTTGGGAGCAACTTTCTTTTCTTCTGGGACATCGATGTTCTTTTTAACTGGAAAAAAAATGGAAAACACACAATCACAACATTAGAGTTAGCTATATTAACTACATTAATAAAGCTCATTCTGAAATCAATAAATGTGTTCATTTCATTAGTTCAAGGAGGAGGAGAAAGAAAAATATAGAGCTTTTAGAGGTTTCAGTGCAAATAAAAACAAGCATTTAAGCAAAACAGAAAAGTAAAAGAGAAACAAAATCAAGCGTTGCTTCTTTCCTAATATGTAGCATTCATTATCTATGCCATTACTAACAATATCACCATAATATACAGTAAAATCAGACTAATTTGGATGGACAAGTCGTCCAGTGCATACTCCTTTTAAAACATTTTCTAATCTATATGGTTGATTCATTCAGTATTATTATATTGAAGAAGAAACAATAACATTAACTGCTAAGAATCTGCTCATTCAATCCTGCTGGTCCTACTTGCAACACTAGGGAAGACATTCCCCACTGGCATCACTGTGCATATGCATAAGGTATCTGAAAAATCTACTCACTATGCCTGCCTCTAGTAAAAAGGTCATTGGAGTCAAGGGGACTTGGGTTCAAATTCCACCTTTAACATTTAATAACTAGGTGATGAAAGGCAAAACCAAGGATAACATCTGTCCTATTCAACTCAGAAGTTGTTTGGAGGCTCACATGAGACAATCTACTTTATGAAAGTTAAAGAGCTACACAAAAAGTCACAAAACAAATAACAATGATGATCCTAAGTGAATGAAGCCAAGCTTCGGCTCCTCAGTACTTGCCCCCCTCTACCTGCTACAGAGTGAGAATTGGTGTCCTACCCACTGAAAGGCAACATAACAGAACTGAGAGACCGAGAGTTTGCAACAAGGAACAAAACACAAGAATATTCATTTCAAGGTGTAAATACCTTTGAATATAAACTTGAAAATTTAGGATTCAAGGAACTCTATTGCAATACTGTATCTGAACAGAAATATTTTGGTAATGTAAGAAAAAAGGCCTCACCAATGCAAGAACAATGCCTCACCAACTTTGGAGAAGCTGATCCACTTTTTCTTTTTTTTAAGGGGAGGGGGAGTCCCGATTTATTCTCTTTTGTTGTAAGGAATACTCCAGAAGGAAGCTCCCTCTCCCAACCACTTCTTTTTATTCTTCATCACACAGGTGCCAAGGTGTTTTCCTCAAGTCCATATCTGACTATATTGCTCCCCTACTCAATAAACTACAGTGGCTCCCACACATGTCCAGGGTCAAATATAAAGTCCTCAGTTTGGCCGCAAACCCACCCTGACCTTTGCTGTCTTCTTATGCTTTACTCCCCTCCATACTCTCTAGGACCCAGCTACACAGACCTATTTGCTGTTCCTCAAATATGATGCTTCCTCTCCCGTCTCCATGCCTTTGCATTGGCTGTCCCCCACGCCTGAAATGCTCTCCCTCTTCACCTCTCTCCCTCAGTTTCTCACTGCTTTGTTTCAAGAGTCAGCTTAAATCCCACCTTCTTTGGGAGAGTTTGCCTGATCACTCAGTTTCCCTTAGTGCCTTCTCTCCTTGCACGCTCTTCTCTGAGATGACTTTGAATATATCTTCTATTTATCTAGGTATTTAACATGTTGTCTCCCCAATTAGAACATCAGTTCCTTAAGGGCAAGGGATATTTTGGTTGAAGGAATGAAAACTTAGCTCAAATTTCTGAATTTACAACTGAGAATGAGAAGTCCATGGGCGAGATCCAGTGCTGAAAACAATGAAACAGGTCACTGAAGCTACCAACCTTTTACAATAGCCGAACCCAAATCAGTGGCTACTCTCTTCTGAAACAGTGTCTGTTATTTCAAAATGCTTTCCTGGGAAATCGCCACCTCCCACTTCAGAGACTTTCTCATGATTAGTACTGAGACATCACACTTTTCCCTATAGTCATAAAACTGTGATATGTTAAAAATCTCAAGGTTTCCCAGTGACTATGAATTTCTACAATCAGAGTTATTTATCCTTTCACGTTTCTCTAATACAAACAAAAATAATTTTAGACTCATACCAATTTGGAAATTATGTGAAATATTTGGATGGAAATGACCTGTTTTTTTCTTGTCCAAACATAGATAACATGAGAATTCTCATTGACCTAACCAGAATACATCTACTCTATATGAGGACTATATTCTGACATGATGCTTCATCATGCAAATGCAATATAGGGTTTTAAGCCAATATACTGTGCTAATTAGAATGTTTATTGTTGTTTTTGTTCCTGTTTTTTTGGTTAGGCAATGGGGTTAAATGACTTGCCCAGGGTCACACAGCTAGTAAGTGTTATGTGTTCAAGGTCAAATTTGAACTCAGGTCCTCCTGAATCCAGGGCCACTGCTCTATCCACTGCGCCACCTAGCTGCTCCCCTAATTTGAACATTTAAACCAGCACTGCTAAAGGACAATGACAATCATGATCATACCAGAGGTAAATACTTTCTATGGACAGTAACTATTACGCTAATAAGAAAGCCATCCTAACGGCTACATCCAATGGATTTTCTGAGTCATCATTGTCTTGGGCCTCCACTCAGCCTAACACCTGATGCACCCACTGCTTCTGAAGAAGGTCTGCTCCTTTAGCTTCCAAGACACTATCCCCCCAGGTCTCTTCTAGTATCTTTAACATACCAATCTAGGGTCAAATATGACTATCTTCCCTAGCTGTCTCTATCACAAATGCTAAGATAGAATGTTCACTTCCCAAGGTTCCCATAATTTCTGGTTCAGTAACCTGGACCCAGTGAGCAAAACAAGGAACACTGAGTGGAAGAAGCACAAAAGAACACTTAGGCTTAATTTCTTTTTTCTTCCTCCTCTCCCACCCCTTCTCTCTCTCTATCTCTCTCTACCCCAGATCTGTGATTTCACTGGTGCAGAAAACCTCAACTGAGGCAACTCTCTCTACGATGGATATCTGTAACTTGAAGTCTTAGAGCTGCCTGGTCACTAAGAGGTTAAGTGACTTGCTCACAGTCACAGAACCAAAATTCATTCAATGTAGGATAAGGCTGCAGGTATTGTGACTCTAAGGAATCAGGCTATATCCTACACTCTATGTCCCAACATATGCTGCTCCTAAGGCTTGATATAGAGGAAATACTCATAACCAGCAGAGGTGTAAAAAAGTGCAGCTGGCTACCTCCAAGAGTAGGGTCCTCCCCTCCATTAGGCTTCTATAAGGAGAGAGTGAAAGGCAATTTGGTGAGTAGATAATAGAGGGATTCTTGAGGACTACATGCGATGTGCTGTCTCTTCCAGCTCTTAGATTCTGTAATTTTGTGATCTGGATTTGCTCTTTGGAAAGTCACTCTGTGTCATGTAGCATTTCAGGTCATTAGACTAAAGCAGTAGTTCCCAAACTTTTGGGTCTCAGCACCTCTTTACAGTCTCAAAAATGATTGAGGGCCTCAAAGAGCTTTCATCAATACCTACTATATTAGAAATCAAAGCATCTTAGTACCATTATGAAAATACTTTGAAAACCTCTGGGCTAAGTGATCATGAGGTGATTATGAGGTCCCTTCCAAAACTAAAAGATATGATCTAATCAAATGTGTATAGCCCATTAAGTCAATCCACGTCACATAAAAATTTCATTAAAGAAATCAACTGGTATATTGAAAATCCATACTATTATGACTTAAAACTGATGTCTTATTCTCTCAAATATTTTTTATTTGTCAGCCATTCAGACAATAAGCATTTATTATGCTTTTACTATGTGCCAGAAACTGTGCTACTCCATGGGGATACAATCAAAGGCCAAAACAGCCCCTGCTTAGGGAGGGAGGTGGAGGGAGGGGGAGAAAAACTTAAAACTCAAAAGCTTATGGAAGTGATTGTTGATAAATCCAAATAAATTAATTAAAAAAATAAAAATAAAAATAAAACAGCCCCTGCCCCCAAGGAATCTCGTTCTAATGGGGGAGACAGCAAGTCAAAAATTTGGTATATTCTGGCATCAAGTTGACTAAAGGAAATCTCAGAAGTAAAAACACCAGCAGTTGGGGAGACAATTAGTATTATTCATGAATACAGCTTATAAAATAATTTAAAATACTATTATTTTTCAACAATATAAAACTGAATTCTGATATTTTTCCCACAGTATAGTTTGGGTGCACAAAATGTACCCATTCAGATGATTCTCTTTACATTATGAGAAACAGTCATTAAAAAGTTGAGAGCTTAGTATACCTGTGAAATATCAATTGTCTGTAGATATAGAAGTATGTATGTATACACCCCCCCACTTCTGTATCTTCATGACATAATGCATGCCTGTGAAAAAGAAAAGGCCATCCACTTTTCCCTCATGTACTGAAAATAGTGATCAGCTGAAAGTAGAGATTCTCATGCAAATACAACCTGTTACATTATAAAAGCATGGGGTATATATGTACATACTCCAATCACCAAATGTTTGCCTGTGTCATCAGGGATATTCAAAAAACAAACAATTTGTGAAATATATACTGCCCCTGAACTTTTAGAGTGGGAATAGACTTTAGAGGGCCATTTAATCTAAGCCACCCTGAAGAAAAATCTTCTCTACAACCTACCTGGCAACAGAACCTTCAGCCTTTGCTTCCAGATCTCCAGTGAGAAGGAACAGGCTGTGCCTCAAGAACCCCCTTTTCTACTTTCAGGTGCTTCTAATTCTTAGAAGTGAGGTGGCTCCGTGAAGAGAGTGCTGGGCCTGGAACCAGGAAGACCTGACTTTAAATCTGACCTCAGACACTCACTAACCATGTGACCTTGGGAAAGTCACTTAATCCTGTTGGCCTCAGTTTCCTCAACTGTAAAATGAGCTGGAGAAGGAAATGGCAAACTACTCCAGTATCTCTGCCCAGAAAACCCCACATGGGGTCTTGAAGACTCAGAGGTGACTGAATCACAATTCTTAGGAAGTTTCCCTATAATCCTAAATTTGCCTCTTAGAAACTCTAATACATTGCTCCTAGTTTTGCCTGCAGG